CACACAGTAGGCCCACATGGCTGTGGCTATCCTCACACACAGTAGGCCCGGATGGCTCTGGCTGGCCTGACACACTCAGTAGGCCCACATGGCTCTGGTTGTCCTCATACACACAGTAGGCCCAGATGGCTCTGGCTGAACTCACACACACAGTATGCCCATATAGCTCTGACTGTCCTCACACACACAGTAGGCCCACATGGTTCTGGCTGTCCTCTCACACACAGTAGGCCCACATACCTCTAGCTGTCCTCACACACACAGTAGGCTCAGATGGCTCTGGCTGTCCTCACACATATAGTAGGCCCACATGGCTCTGACTGTCCTCTCACACACACAGTAGGCCCACATGGCTCTGACTATCTTGACAGACACAGTAGGCAGCAGATTTTTCTGACAATTTTTCTACTCAAAATTTGAGGACCAAGAACTGATGAATCCTACTAATCCATTTTGGAAAGGCAGGAGACTTGTTTCCCATTTGCCATGGATGGTGATCAGGTAACCAGTGACTTACACAGACTGATGTCCACTCACCAACTACTGTCTCAAGGAGCCCAGGGAAGGCTTGTAAGGAGCCCAGCAGTTCACAGTTGGCGGTCACTTCACAAAGGACATGGAGAAGCCTAATTGTGGCCAGGGCTTCCTGAAAAGAAAAGTACATGGGCCTTTAAATCTAAACACCATGATTGCTTCCTGTGCTCGCCACCTGATGACTCACTGCGCAGCCTGGGAAGCCGGTGTTTGCTCTACTTCAAGAAAAACAAGAGCGCTCTGAGAAGCCATCCGTGTTTAACAGACCCAAAGACAATCCTGCTCCCAGCAGCAGACGCCTGCCCGCCGCCATGAGTGCGGGATGAAGTGTCCTCGGCAGCACAGAAAGCTGAGTCGGGACAAGTCACTAGTCAAACGCAGGCAGAATAAAGGCCTGTGATTATGGCTATCTTTTGCAACCTTTCCCAGTGTGCAAGGCCCACCGGAAAGCTACAGATGCCCCATCTACCGCTGAGGTTGAAGCACTCTGGCTGTGAGAAGGGGCATTACTCTTGGGTAAATACGCACTTAGGATTACACAGGCAATATTTTGGTTGGTCTGAAAAGATGATCTTACTTGACAACGTAAATTGATCTAGCTACTCATCAATCCATCACTCTAAGACAGGCTCCTGAGCAAAGCAGCCTCGTGCCCAGGCTGGGGTCCTGGGAGTGTGAGACAGCCCCAGCCAAAAAGCCCAGCCCTGACGCTGGCCACAGGCTGGTGATACAACACCACCCAAGCTTGTCAACCGTCTCCAACCACAAATGGGGAAGACGGAGAAGGCCACTGCAGATGGCCTTCTCATTCCACATCTTTGTCGAGCGGCTAAATACCAGAACAAGTCAACGTACAGTTACAATCTTGAAATCGTGATCAATCATGAAATCACCCAAAGAGGGTGTGTGTGTGTGTGTGTGTGTGTGTGTGTGTGTGTGTGTAACAACTATACATCTTATGGGTCTCCAACACAGAAGACAATTAAACAATTTTTAAGACTGTTTTGGGTGTTTCGTGTTTCTGTGTCTCACTGGGTGGGTATGAATTGCGATGAATTATGTTTGGTGAAACAAGGTGGCCTAGACAAACCCCAATGAAACCTAGGCCTGACTCTCCATAACTGGCACCCTCCAGCCAAGCTCCATTGGCTCTACCAAGCTGGCGATGATAGGCATAGGAGGGAAGACCCTCGTCTCCTCTTTGACTTCTCTTCTCTATTATGGACAGAAGGACCCTCCCCAGGGCACCAGCGAGCAGTGGGGGCCAGAGCTGTGGAGCTGCTTGCTTGGATAAAGGCCGAGAGCCAGAGGCTCTGCTTTCCCCCCGAAACACCTGAGCATTCAGGCTTCACTTTGGGAATGTTCAGTACGAGAGAGCCCAAGGGCATGAGATACCAGGCAAGGGCTCCAGCAGACAGCAGGGCACTCGCCCTTCAGACCCAGAAAGTGGAACTGGGAAAAGAATGAAGCCAGAAACTAGTCAGACGAATAAGGAAACCTGCAAGGCCACGATGTTCAGAACTCCTGCTGGGTTTCCCAGGAGCGTCACACCTGTTTCAGCCACGGTAGGGCTGGCGGAGACCTAGGAGACTGCCTCATCTGACACCTGGGCCAGAGAAAGGAAGAGACGCGCCCAAGGTCACACAGCTGTCACGAGGCACAGCTGGGTTTGGAGCCGGGCCTTCTGACTGGGGCACAGGACGAGGAGAGATTCTGAGGACGGACAGACACTCCTCTCTGGTGCTCCCTCCCTGCCCGGAAGACAACAGCACACACAGGTTCTCATTCCTCCAAACACGACCTGAGGAGTGACTGTGGCTAAGCAAGGCCTTCAGCATGCGTGCTCCTTCCCCTGTCTCCCTCCTCCCTCCCTCTAACCATCTGGGGGAATCATCCCAAGGCAAGGCCAAGACCAAGGCGGCACGGGGCAGTGAAGTGCTCCTCCTGCTGGACACCACGGGTATCTGAGGGCCCTCTCCAGACACAGACTCCGGCCTCCTGCCACAACCACCTCTCTTACACAGACCTCCCTCCTCTGCAGTCATTCAAACTCCTTTGCCATTCTAGGCCACCCACAGCCCAGAAGCTCCCCACTATCCCTGCAGCTTCTTCAGGGCAGGGACAACCTCTCTTTCAGGCCTCACCTCTGCAAATGCCTTCCTCGTGGGATCTTGTTAGCTGTTGTCACGGTTGGGGACAGCTTATCCCTCTGCTAGAGGGCCTACTCTTATAGGAACTAAAACTGGCCCCTAGTAAACGTTCCTCCATTGGTATGATGGATGGCTAGATGATGGATGGATGAATGAATGGGTGAATGGATAAACAGATGGCTGGAGAGATGGTGGATGGATGGATGGATGATGAGTGGATTGATAGATAAACAGATGTCTGGATAGATGGTGGATGGATGAATGGATAAACTGATGGATGGACAGACGGATAGACAGATGAATGGATGGATAGACGATGGATGGATGGATAGATGGACTGATGGATAATGGATGGACAGATGGATGGATAGATGGATGAACAGACAGATGAATGGATGGATGATGGATGGATGAATGCATGGACAAACAGATGGCTGGATAGATAGTGGATGGATGGATAGATGGACAGACAAATTAATAGATAGATGATGGATGAATGGACAGACTGATGGATGGATGAATGGATAGACTATGGATGGATAGATGGATAGACAGATGAATGAATGGATAGAGGATGGATGGATGGATGGATGGATGGATGGATGGACTGATGGATAATGGATGGACGGACTGATGGATAATGGATGGACAGATGGATTGATAGATGATGGGTGGTTCGATGGATAGATGGACAGATGGATGGATGGGTACAGAGCAGGCAGCTAATAAACAAAGCAAACTGGACATCTTCCCATGCAGAGGGAAATGTGAGCTCACAGTGATCACTGAAGGATTGCAGCTATGTTCACAGACTACACAGACTGAAATTGGAAAGGGCCCTCCCAGGTCCCATCCTATTTGACTGAGAAGGTTGGGATACTTGGGAGACTCCCAGGTCACGTCAGCCACGAATAGCAGAGCAGAGACTGGGACTCTGCCCCTCTGTCTCTTCACCAAGGTTCTAACCCTTGTACCACGCTGCCTCCACATGGAGTACTCATGAGACCTATTATTCAAACTAAGAAAGTAGACGACAGCCCCCTTTAAAAGAAACGAATTTCATAAAAAGAGGTTTTCCTTGATTCTATTTTATCTGCTTCTTTAAAAAAATACATTTTTCTTGGTGCCTTTTTTCAATTTTAACATCCCCATCCTTTCCCCAGGATCCTCCCCCTCCCCTGCCAAGAGAGCCAACCACATAATAAAGTCCCTGGTTTGAAGGCAGGAGGAGGCAGGATAGGAAGACAGAGGGCCAGGTGCTCAGCATGGGAGCTGGTTGGCTGAAGTCAGCATCATTTGTGTCCTGTGGCCTTCAATGGAGGAAAGCTGTCCGGGTGATGGAGGTACGGGGAGAGCGTGGAAAGCCGGAGGGAGCCTGAGGTGCTCGGACTCCCCAAACCAGTGAGTGTGTTGGGGGCAGGGGAGGCCTGTCTGCTGGTGCTACAGTGGGGACCACCAAGATTATTCATTTATCCCACAAGCACGATGCCAGGCACGAGGGAGGGAGCGACGAAATGAGGAACAATTCTACTCAGGGGGAGGGAGTGGGTAGAGGGCACACGGCTTCTAAACACACATAAACAAATGCCGTGGAATCTGGGGGGAGAGAGCACCTGCCTCCAAGGGAATCGGCCAAGACCTCCCTGAGAAGGTGGCAGGGCAGACATGAGGAAACCTGCTGCTGAAGGAAGACGGGGGGATGGCTGAAAGGTCGGGGGAGGGGCAGGGGTCAGAAGGCCGTGTGACAGCTCTGGGTATTTTGGAGACCATCTCCGTCCAGGCTGAGTCTGAGACCCAGAGAGCAGAAATGACCCAGTGAATGAGGGAAGTGGTGCACTTGTGGGCAATGAGGAGACTGGTGTGAGACATGCCTCTGCGCAGAGGAGGCAGAGGGGCCGCGAGGGAGGGAGCATCTCTGAATATTACAGACCCTGGTACAAGGAAGAGCAGGAGGCAGGGAGGAGAGCCCAGGCCCCACAGCTCACTGTCAGGGCCTTTCCTCCTGCCCCTGCTGCTTCTCAGCCCCTGCCCTGAAGAGAGTGGAGGGGGGAAGGAAGAAAAAAGAAGAGACACAGCTGCTTCTGAAACAGGCTTTAAGAAAGGAAAAGGAGAAGCCACAGGAAAATGTGGACATTCAGAGGAAGGGGAAAAATCTTAATTTCCTCAATACAATCACTTCCAATTGGGGAGGGGGAGAAAGCCCCTGATGTGATCTGAGGGAAGATCTCAAGTCACCACCAAAAAGGACTTTCTAACAATTGGGACATCCTCCAAGGGAATGGACTGCCTCCTAAGGCAGTGAGTTTCCCACCACGCAGAAGCTGGAGAGCCCGCTGTAGGGGCTCAGGCACCCGCCCATGAGGCCGCAGCATCTCAAGTCCTTCCAAGCTGGAGACGTGGCACTCTAAGATCAGCAGTGGGCCCGATGGCAGAGGAGGCCAGGGCCAGGAGAATGGGAAAGGCTGGCACAGGGAGGCACCAGGGACAGTGGCCCAGAAATGAACACAAGTGGGAGGCGCCCTGAGCTGGCCTGGGCTACTCCCTCCCTCCTGCCCTCCCAGGGGCTGTCTGTACCCTGACCTCATCATCATCGTGCCCGGCTGAGGCAAGCTTCAGCACAGACTTGCATTTGTCTTGGAAGCTGCTTGCAACCCATTCAGCGTGCCTTAGAAAGGCGTCCAGTTCCTCTCTGGTCAGCGGTTCATCCCCCACAAGCTTGGCTACCATGAGATCGAGCAACATAACCCTGAAAAACACAAGGGAGAGAAGGAAGACCGTAAAGGGTCAGAGAGCTCTGGGCATCAGGGCTGATGACCCCAGAGAAGTCCCGAGTGTGAAAAGGATAACCCATTCTACAATTTCCTGTCTGAACCAATGAAGCCACAGTGGGCAAATCCAATTACCTTACCAGTGGCAGGAGCAGGCCTGGAGGCCCAGGGGTTTCTCTCTCTCCCCACCCTCATACTCTCACTCTCTCTCACATACCCTTCTGTGTGTACGTGTTGTTCCCCCCAGCAGAAGATCAGCTCTGTGAGGGCAGGGACTACGCTGTGTTGTCCTTGTGTGGCCAGCACCTCCCACAGCACCTCGCATATAGTGGGGCCTTGTGTGGCCAGCACCTCCCACAGCACCTCGCACACAGTAGGGCCTTGTGTGCCCAGCACCTCCCACAGCACCTCGCACACAGTAGGGCCTTGTGTGCCTAGCACCTTCCACAACACCTCGCACACAGCAGGGCCTTGTGTGGCCAGCACCTCCCATAGCACCTCGCACACGGTAGGGGCTGAAATGTACTGAATTTACTAGTAACACTAAGAAGGAAATTTCTCCATTTTCAGAAGCATCCACAGAGTTAAAATCTTTGATCACAACCAACCTCACTCTTTTTCTGTCTCTCCAGAATAAATCCTCTAAAAAATAGGTGGATTAAAATCACAGAATTCTGGGGTTGAATCAAGTTCTGCTAATTATTATGGCTGTAAACTTTGGCGAGTGACTGATTCTCTCTGGACCTCAGTTTCCTCACTTGTAAAGTAGCAGTCAGACTGGAAGACCCCTCCTCCAGCTCTGTGGCCTGATGACCTCGTGAGTCACTGTGTCAGAGGGGATTTCTGGGAACATCTTGTCCAACCAGACCCCTAACAAGTGCTCTACCAAGAGGTCATGCAGTGAAGACTGCATGGCTGAGTTCAGGGTCTGGGAGCCACACTTCTCACGCCCATGCGGCCCATGGCTTCTCCAAGGCAAAGCCCCTCCCTGCTACACCTCTGTTGAAGGAGGGCATGCAGCCAGGGCCCATGTTATCATTTTACCCAGGTGGAGATCGAGAGCCAGAGGAGGGATGTGATTGGCCCATGACCCATCACACAGAGGGGCTCTGAGAAGAATCAGGACCACCCCCAGGTCTCCTGAGCCCCTCTTCTAGGGTTCTTCCCGCTATCATGCAAACAGGTATTCCATTTGCATCTTTGATTGAGCTATCTGCAGGGAAACTACAAAGTCCAGGACAAGCACAGGGTGTGCCTGGTGAAGGGAAAAGCTGGGCAACCAGGCACCAGCAAGGACAAACCCAAAGCAGGAGCTTGAGGGCTCACCCTTCCTGAGTAATGGCACCAACCTGGACTCAGCACCCCCCCAACCCCTGCCAGCTATGGCAAGGATGTAATGTTAACCAGCCAATTTAAAACCATTACTGACAGAGAAACACGTACTTAGAGACCCTGAGCCAGCCCGAAACCACACCGTTTTTCAATCATGCAAGCAGGACACTCTCTATGGAATGCTAACTACTCAAAACCACACTGGTTTGGGGGCTCACCTTTCTGGGTTGCTCAGCTTGGCATACATGGATTTCACCAGTTCTGGGCTTTTCAGCAGATAGTGGGAAATGATCAGGAACCTGGGAAAAGGAGCGAAATTTTGTTACTAGGAACGGTGAAGCGTGCAAAGTCCTCAGGCACACAAATGCGCATGGGGTCACTTCTGGGGATCACGCCTTGACGCTGTAGTTAAAATTGCACACGCCCTGCCCTACAGCCAACTGGCCTGTTCCATAGTGCCCTTCCTACCACCAGGCCTTTGCTGATGCCGTTCCTGCCCTGGGAGAAGGTCCTTCCAGCCCATCTCTGAGCACTGAGGTTCTCTCCAGGCCCTGTCAAATCCTCCACCTTTCCCAGAACAAGACCTTACCCTGTCCTCCATCCTCCCAGTCCTTGGCCCAGAGCCCCAGCCTGGGAGGGCCTACTGTGTGGAGAGCTTAGGGCTGTGCCCTAGGAGATGGAGCTGAGATGAGGTCCAGCCCTGGCCTTCATGGCACTTACATCTAGCAGGGAGGTGGGGCCCCACACATTACAAGAGGTCTAAGGAGAAAGGCTGGAACCCCTTGGAGGAATCTCAGTGGGATCTTTGAAGGAGCTGGCATCTGAGCTGAGCTTGAAAGGATGAGAGGATTAGTGGAAGGAGAATGCAGGCATCTGGGCCCAGGGCAGATGATGAGCCAAGGCATGGCCAGGTAACAATGGCTCAACAGCTCACTTAATTGGACCCCAGAGGATGAGAAGGGTAGAGCCATGAGATGAGCCCAAAGTGGCAGGTAGAGACGGCCTTGAATGCAGGCAGAACATTCAGATCTCAACTTGGCAAATCACAGAGCCACTGAAGATTTCTGGACAAAGAATGCCATGCCAGTGAGTAGGCAGGATGGAATAGAACAGGCAGAGTGGCTGCTGTGATGATCCAGAAGGATCAGGATGATCCTGGGCTGGAAGCAGCAGGAAGAGACAAGAGTAGAGGGTGGGTGCTAGGTCTGCATCTCAAAAACCAAGGAATTGGAAATCCAAAGGATGCCCATCCATTGGGGAACGGCTAAACAAGCTGTGGCATATGATTGTGATGGAATATTATTGTGCCATAAGAAATGACAAGCAGGAGTAAGTCTCTCTCACCCTCCCTTATTGACCTCTGAAAGCCCAGAAAATATTACCCCAGGAAAAACCCTGGGACAGCTGAAGCAGCAGAAAGACGAGGTGCAGCAGTCTTGTAGCCCAGGAAGCTTGGGGAATTAATGGGAAAGGCCCCTCTTGCTCTGGGGGGAGGGAGAGCAGTACAGAACGGGAAGTGTCCCACCAAGCTAGCAGAAAGCCCCACCTCAGCATGCCAGGGGGAGATCCTGAGCTCCAGGTACTGGAGCACGCAAGCACCAACACCAGGACCCCCAAGTGCCTCATTACAGGAAGGGGAACCAGTGGAAACTGGCTTGGAAAACCACCACATGCCACAGCATTCTCCAGCAGCCAAGTCTTCCAATGCCTCAGTAAAACTCTGGGCAGCACAACTCCAAGAGGGAAAGCTCCAGGTGGAGAAGCATCCCGCAGCAGGGAAAGATCCTCTGCAAGGCCCAGGTGAACAGGAGTCAAAGAAAGGAGTGCAAAGCTCGGGTGAGCAGGCATCTTCCAGGGGCCAGACTAACCCACCCTACCCCTAGAGCTCCAGTGTTGCTGATTCTAGCCCAACACCAGGTAAGCTGCCAGAACCCTACAGCCTCCAACTGCCAGCATCTCAGGCTCCAGCACATGAAGCCAGTGAGCAGGCCCCAGGATCCCAGCACAAGAAGCTTGGGTCAGTAACCCCTGCCCTCCAGCAGGAGAGCTCAATTTTTTTTAAAGGGCATGAAATAAACAAACACCATGAGTAAAAAGAAACGTACAATGACCATAGATTCTTATTATGGGGACAGGGAAGATCAAGGCAGAAATTCTGAAGAGGACAACATTGTCAACAAACCCACATCTGGAACCTCAAAAGGGAATATGAGCTGGTCTGAAACCCAAAAAGCCTTCTTGGAAACTTGGGAAAAGAAATGAGAGGTATGCAAGAGAGAGTCAATAGCTTGGAAAAGGAAGGACAAAAATTAACTGTAAAAAACAAGTCCTTAAAAAATACAGTTGGCCAACTGGAAAAAAAGTACACTGAAGAAAACAACTCCTTAAAAAGCAGAATTGCCCAAACAGAAAAGGAGGCTCAAAAACTCACTGAGGAAAACTCCATAAAAAGTAAAATGGGTCAAATGGAAAAGGAGGTACAAAATCTAATAGAAGAAAACAATTCATTAAAAATTAGAATGGGGCAAATGGAAGCTAATGACTCTATGAGAGAAATAGAATCAGTCAAACAGAAACAAAAGAATGAAAAAATAGATGAAAACCTCATCTAAAATACCTCATTGGTAAAACAATTGACTTGGAAAATAGATCCAGGAGAGACAATTTAAAAATTACTGGTCTACCTGAAAATCATAATGAAAAAAAGAGCCTGGACAGTATCTTTCAGGAAATCATAAAGGAAAACTGCCCTGAGGTCCTAGAACGAGAGGGTAAAATAGTCATAGAAAGAATCCACAGATCACCTCCTGAAAGAGATCCCAAATTGAAAATGCCAAGGAATATTGTAGCCAAATTCCAAAATTACCAGATCAAAGAGAAAATACTGCAAGCAGCCAGAAAGAAACAATTTAAATATCATGGAACCACAATCAGGATTAAGCAGGACCTTGCAGCTTCTAAATTAAAAGATGGTAGTGCATGCCATAAGGCAAAGGAGCTTGGATTACAACCAAGAACCAACTACCCCGCGAAAATGAGTGTGATCTTTCAGGGGAGGAGATGGACATTCAATGAAATAGGGGACTTTCAAACCTTCCTGATGAAAAGACCAGAGCTCAAAATGTGATCTTCAAATACAAGACTCAAGAGAGACTTAAAAAAAGAGGGCACCTAGGTGGTGCAGTGGATAGAGCACCAGCCCTGGAGTCAGGAGGACCTGAGTTCAAATCTGGCCTCAGACACATAACACTTACCAGTTGTATGACTCTGGGCAAGTCACTTAACCCCCCAATTGCCTCACCAAAAAAAAAAAAAAGACTTAAAAAGGTAAACAGAACAGAATAAAAAACAACAGCAACATGTTATTAATAAGGGCAAACTGTTCATATCCTAACAAAGCAAGATGACACTTGTACCTCTTGAGAACTGTATTGTTATTACACCATTTTAAAGGGGTATACATAGACAGAGAGGGTGGGTATAAGTTGATTTTGATGTAATGATAAAAAAATCTAATTAAGTGGGTTAAATGGATCTAAGTAAGTGGATTAATCTGATCTAATTAAGGGATTATACTGGGAGAAAAGGAAAGGAGGAGGCAGACAAGGGTAAATTACTTTACAGGAAAAGACACAAAAACCTATTACAGAAGAGGGAAAGCAGTGAGGGAGATGAGCATTGTTTGAACCTTACTCTCATCAGATTTGGCTCAAGGAGGGAATAACATAATCAGGTATAGAACTCTAACAGGCCCTATAGGCAGTAGGAGGGAAAAGGGGAAGAAAAGGGAAGGGGATAGAAGGGAGGGAAGAAGCAGTAAGGGTAAAGGGGAAGAAAAGTGAGGGAGCTAATAGAAGGGAGGAGGGACTGAAGGAGGCACTAGTCAGAAGCAAAATACTTGTGAGGAGGGAAAGGGAGAAAGGAGAAAGAAAAGCGTAAACAGGGGGGAAATAGGATGGAGAGAAAGACACAGAGAGTAATCACCACTGTGAATGTGAATGGGATGAACTCTCCCATAAAATGGAAGCAGATAGCAGAGTGGATTAAAAACCATAATCCTACCATATGTTCTTTATAGGAAACACATTTGAAACAGAATGACACACACAGGGTAAAGGTAAAAGGCTAGAGGAGAATGTATTATGTTTCAGCTGTAAAAATAAACAGGGGTAGCAATCCTGATCTCAGACAAAGGGAAAGCAAAAATAGATCTTATCAAAGGAGATAAGGAAGGAAGCTACATCCTGCTAAAAGGCACCATAGGCAATGAAGTAATATCATTACTAAACATATAGGCACCAAGTGGTATAGCATCCAGATTCTTAGAGGAGAAGTTCAGGGAGTAACAGGAAGAAATAGACAGCAAAGCTATACTAGTGGGGAACCTCAACCTCCCCCTCTCTGAACTAGATAAATCTAACCACAAAATAAACAAGAAAGAAGTTAAGGAGGTGAACAGAACATTAGAAAAGTTAGATATGATAGACCTGCGGAGAAAACCGAATGGGGATGGAAAGGAATATACTTTTTTCTTGGTGGTACATGGCACATACACAAAAATTGACCATGTACCAGAGCATAAAAACCCCATAATCCAATGCAGAAAGGCAGAAATATTAGATGCATGCTTTTCGGATCATGATGCAATAAAAATTATATGTAATAAAGGGCCATGGAAAGATAGACTAAAAAATGATTGGGAACTATAAAATCTAATCCTAAAGAATGAATGGGTCAAACAACAAATCATAGAACAATCAATAATTTCATCCAAGAGAATAACAATAATGAGACAACATACCAAAACTTATGGGATGCAACAAAAGCAGTTCTTAGGGGAAATTTTATATCTCTAAATTACATGAATAAAATAGAGAAAGAGGAGATCAATGAATTGAGCATGCAACTAAAAAAAAAAACTAGAAAAAGAACAAATTAAAAATCCTCAATTAAATACCAAATCGGAAATACTGAAAACCAAAGAAAAGATTAATAAAATTGAAATTAAGAAAACTAATGAACTAGTAAATAAAACCAAGAGCTGGTTTTATGAGAAAATCAATAAAATAGATAAACCTTTGGTTAACTTAATTAAAAAAAAGGAAAGAAGAAAATCAAAATACCAGTATCAAAAATGAAAAGGGTGAATCCACCACCAATGAAGAGGAAATTAAAACAATAATTAGGAACTACTTTGCCCAACTGTATGCCAGTAAATTTGACAATCCTTAGTGAAATGGATGAATATTTACAAAAATACAAATTGCCCAGATTAACAGAAGAGGAAGCAAAATACTTA